CAACGAAGATACTCGGTTCAAAAAATGATATTTCTAGCCTCTTTTCAAAACCTTCAAATCCAATTGCAGAGACCGCCATGGCCATATCAACTAACAGGAACGATTAAAGTCGCAAGAAGACCCAAAAAGCAAACAGAATACAGTCGCAAAGATACTACAGTCGCTAAGAGAGAAGAGAGGAAGATGCTGATCGAAGTAAAGACACAAAAACAAACTAAAAGCAATAAAAGTTTATGAACCACGTCTTGTGGTTAGGTTTCCAATTGAGGAATATCAGGATGGTTTGCGAGCGCACTGCACAAGATGGAAGCAGAAAGTTAACATTTTTCATGTACAATGATTACTTCCACAATTTACCCAGCTAGGGGGAACTCACACAACCAAACTCTACAATAAAATGGCGAACCGAAACTTACGTTGGAGTAAGCAGCAGATCTGAACTTCTTGATTCCACCGTTGGGTCGGATGTCTTCGATGCTGTATCCAAGAGGTGCTTCATAGAATAAGGATTTACTACTACTAGAATTCTTTTTACCACCTTTAGACTCCATTAGATCATTCAGTTCTTCCTGTTGACAGCCAACCAAAAAAGATTTCACTAATCAGAAATAAATAATTAAAAGAATTAAGGTTTAGATCTACATGTAGAGAAATGTGGAACAAATCCCAGTAAATAAATTTTCTCAACATCACAACATGTAGCTTATGAAACAGATTGAGTCTATATGTTCAGAATCCAAATTATTCTTCAGCAAACATGCAACATTTTTAACCCATATGATTTATTTATTTTTGGTAATGCGTATGAATTATACAGTTGATGATTTAACAATAAAAACTATTAGATTAGAACACAAAAAGGGCAAAATTTTATCGAACAATACTGGTACATGACAAAAAATCATTCATTTTAGATGGATTTCGTGGACAGATTTAATTAAAATATTTATGAAAATACGAATATGTAAAATCATTATGCAAGTTAAATCACCCTATTTGATGCAACAAAAGGAATTCCAAAACACAAATTTTATTCCAGCCGCAAAAATCCAAACCCATATAACCCAACCAGCTCTACCGTGGTAAACAAAACATCAGATAAAAACGAAACTTTAACAAAGAATGATAGCATATGCAGGTTATCAAAAGTTCCTCATTTTCCACACAGACTACATGGAAAAATAATCGAATACTCATTCAAATGAAGGAAAAAAACAACAAACAGATGAAAAAGAAAAACAATCGAACTTACAAATACGAAAAATTGTTGGGCGTTCTCTTCGAAAGATAAGCCAACGGCTTTCGACCTCCCCGGAAACCCCTAGATGGAAATCGATAAGAAAATCGAACGAACCAGCGGGCGGCGAGAAAATGCAGATATCAAAAGGGAGGCGGATCGAAAACCCTAGAAAATTTTGATTATTGCTGTGGCTGTTTTGTTTTTCTGGAAAATGATAGAGGTATGGAGCATATTTATAGAGTACGTGAGACTGCTTTCCAAGTTTGCCCCTGCTTGATGGTGAAAGACGACCATGCCCCTACGCTCTCAAGTCTGCTATGATAGGCTGGCGACGTTGTTTCTTGGAAACAGCTGAGCCTTTCAATGATAACGTTTTTTTCTTTGGTCAAAACTCTTTATTATTATTCACGGATCATGCATTCTTTCTGTTTCTTTTTAACTTTTTTTAGTTAAAAATAATAATTCTCAGTAATCAAAGGTTGTAGGGGCAAGAAAATTTCTTAATAGCAAATAATAATAATAATTGAAATATGGAAAAGTTTATTTATCTTGGTAATTCAATATTGGAAAGTTGGTAAAGTTGGACGAAACTTATCGCTGATGTATTAAGAGTTTCATATGTATTCACAATTGATAGCGTATGTAATCAATATATTCATTACTTGGGAAAAATAAAACATTCATTTGTCTACTATTTGAGGATTTAATTGTCTACAATTATTACTTTGAATTTTTCTATTTGTAGTGGGACTAACCGTTATAATAAATCAAAAGCTAGAGGTTAAGGATTTTAATTTTATTTATTATAAAAATATGGTAATTAAACAAAATTAACTCAAATGCTAGAACTAGTGAAGGCTTTAGTCTTTTCACTTTTGGAATGGTGAAATATTTGGTGGGGTTGGGATTCGAGTTTGAATAGAATAGGAGAAAACGACAAAGACAGACAGAATCAGATTCTCTTTATTTTGTCAATTTCTCCCACTCATTCTATTTTGTTTGTGTTTTTCTTTTGTTGCCCACTGCTCACTTTTGATCCCTCTGTTCCATCTTCTCGTGCGTTTATCCCTTATCTCTACATTTAGATTTGTGGGGGCACTTTTTCGCGATAAGATTGGTGCGCGGTGAGGGCTGTTTTAAACAGAGCCACAAACCTTCTGACACGTGTTCGGCCTGTGTGGCTGTAACTTTATCGTTTTTTTCGTTTTTCTTTTTTTTCTCCTCTAATTAGCTACTTGGTTTTCTGTCCACCCATTCCACTACTCTTTGTCGTGCATGGGCAACTTGTCAATTATTGTCAATTTTAAGCCACCCTTATTTTCCTACAATGATTAACAGAAAAAGAAACCTAATAATTTCAACAGCCACCGGATTATAAGCATTTTCCTTGTAATTTCAACAACTTTATATATATGTTATTCACGTGTGGCAAACATATGGAATGGAAAGTAGTATGAATCAGAATAATTTTGCTAGTTTTTATTTTTTTCCAGCTCATAAAAATACATATAAAAAACCTAAATATAAAGCAAATAGCACAAAAGAAAGTTTTTCAAAACACATCAACTTGACTTTCAGACTAGTGATTTTATGTTCGAAATCCTATGATAACGTGGTAGTGTGTGTATCTGTCTCCCTCTAATTTAGATTATCGTTGTACCCAAAAAAAAAAAACATCTATTTTATTCTAAAGAGTTTCTAGCTCAAATAATCAACAATTCTTTTTTATGAGTTTGAAGTCATATGTTTGAATATCTATTTTCGATATCATTTGTAAATAAAACGAAGAAGTTTGTGGAAGGGCAATTAGACCAAATCCCCTAGTAATTGGATTCCTACTCAGCACAATTCACAAGATTTTTAGATGCCATGCCAAAATTTCAAGACTAACTTTGCTAGGATTCGGGAACATATAGCATATTATATATGTAAAGAACATCTAGCGTTGCTTTTTTGGGATTAATAAACAAAAAAGAGGGGAGCCAAATGAGGGTGGAGGATTTAACAACGTTATCTGTGACTTGGAAATGTGCCATTTGGGGCCGCCCTTGAGATTAGTCAATCGATCCCTATTCCTTAAGATATTCCTTGCTCCTTGATGAAGAAACTAAATTAAATAAATTATCGGCCTGCCATTCATGTTCAACACTATTGGCAATTTGGCACTGTGTAGGTATTGGGTTTCATCAGCATCACTTGGATCTGGAAAGAAAAGTAGGATAAGATCTAACGCACTCAATTAATTCTTGTATCTTATGGACTATTTGCAATGAATGAAAGAATCTGAATATGTTCATTTGGCCAAATCATTTTATTTTGTCAAACAAAGCGTACGGGAAATCTCAGATATATTCATATTGTATTCTTCTTCAATATGGAGGTATTTATGAAGAAGTACGAAGATGTGTTAACCCTTAATACAATTTTATTAACTTAAATTAAAATTTAACAAGCATGTTAAATGTTAAATGTGCATGCATGGCTTATAATATGCTTTCCATGGCTGATTCTTAATTTTATGTTGTCCCAATGAAGCTATGAACGTGTATTGTTGTAGCATAACAACAATAAATTAAGGCTTCAGACACCTCTCTACGGCAACTTATTGCAATTTTTTTTTTTAATCTGAATCTCGAGGTGGTCCTAGATAGGCCCCAACTATGGGTGGCACATTTAAGCCTTAACCACAACCCTGCAATTTATTTGAATATAGAGTTGTATTACGGTCAATCACTCATACATGCATGAGTGGTTTTTTTTTTTCTTTTTGTTTGAGAAAGAATGAGATTGCATTCATAACTCAATCAAAAAAATCACTAACCACAAAAAACTAATACAAACTAGCCATAAAATGGCAAATACAAACTAACCACAAAAAGGCTATTACAATAACGAAGCAATCTAATATCAAAATTAAGACAATTCTAAGCATTCATGCATTTTTGAATGCTGGTTAATGCACAACTACTAGTGCTATCTTGAATATCAAGTCATAAAGACATCTAATGCTTAAACGCTGGTTAATACGGATCCGGATCCTCTGCTATGATTTTCTCTACCATGATCTGCTATACTTTTGTTCTCCATATGCCACATCATTAAAATTTAATCTAACGGATTTAAAAGTTGACACATCATCTTAAAACAAAAACTCAATTTACTCCTAATTAAAAAAGAATAAAAAAAACCCTAACACCCAACTAATAGTAGTTAACGTCCAAAGCTCTTTTTTTCTTTTTCTTCTTCTTCTTCGTGTTCTGTCCTCCTCTTCTTCTTTTTTCTTTTTTTTCTCCTTCTTGCTTCAGGTTTTGTCCTCTTCTCATTATTTGCATTCATATTCATATTACCTTAGCTTTGGTTAGTGTGAATATATTGGCAAAGCTACTGTGAAGACGTGAACTTGATCCCATAAGGCAAGCATGATTATTTTGCATGCTGCTCGTTCTCTTTTATCCCTGATACATACTCTTATTTATTGTTTCATGCTACATATGCTTTCATTTATTGGTCCTGCTGTATGCTTTGCTTCTTTCTTTTTTTTATTTTCTTTTTTGGTTCCTATGTCAGCAACAATTCAAAATTTCCCTCTTTCCCATTCAGACTATCTAATTGGTTTTCTGTGTGTGGAGCTTTGAATTGGATTTCAATTAATGTTTTGGTATATCTACCTCCATCCTTCATTTTTAATTTGTAAATATAAATTTGACTGATATCATTGTATGATAGATTAACATTATTATATTTGTTTTATAGACTAAGAATGAGTGATTCAGTGGCTACAATTTGTGAAGATAATTTAGATTATAAGCCCATATGTGATATGGAATTTCTTTCAGAACAAGCTGCATATGAGTTTTATAATGAGTATGGGCGAAGAGCAGGATTCAATATTAGAAGAGATTCACAGAACAAGAATAAGAATACTGGTCAAATAATTTCAAGAGTATTTGTTTGTTGCAAGGAGGGTTTTCGACCGAAAGATAAGCAAGATTATTTAACTAAAAGTTCTCGGGCAGAAACAAGGACATGTTGTAATGCTAAAATGAGCATTAAGTTGAATAAATCCAATGGTAAGTATTGGGTTAGCCATTTTATGGAATACCACAATCATCCTCTTGTAAGACAAGAATGCACTCATATGTTACCGTCTCATAGAAGAATATCTGCTTCACAAGCTACTGAAGTATATTTGACAGAAGAATCTGGGATTCCACTTAGGCAAGCATATGAGTTAATGGGTAGGCAAGTTGGTGGAAGAGAATCTCTTGGATATATCAAACAAGATCAAAAAAATTACCTTCAGACGAAGAGGCAAAGAAAATTGGCATATGGAGAAGTTGGAAGCTTACTAAAGTATTTTCAGAATGAAGCATTGGAAAACCCCTCATTTTTTTATGCTATGCAATTAGATTGTGATGAGCAAATTACGAATATATTTTGGGCTGATGCGAAGATGATTGTTGATTATGGTCAATTTGGTGATTGTGTGTGTTTTGACACCACGTACAAAACTAATGAAGCAAATCGTCCATTCGGAGTGTTTGTGGGATTTAATCATCATCGTGAGATTGCCATTTTTGGGGTAGCATTGTTGTACAATGAGACTGCCAATTCATTTATAAGGTTGTTTGAAACATTTTCAGAGGCCATGTCAAAGAAGGCCCCAAAAACCTTATTTACTGATCAAGATGCTGCGATGGCTAAGGCTTGTGCACATGTGATGTCTGATACATATCACAGGCTTTGCACATGGCACATAATGCAAAATGCCATGAAACATGTAAACAGTTTATTTAGGTGCACATGTGGAGTTAGGAGCGTTTTAACACAATTTATGGATTACTATGAGGAGGAAGATGAGTTCTTAGTTGCTTGGGATTCAATGTTGGATGAATACAATGTGCGTGGACATCTTTGGTTAGAAATCATTTTTGATTTAAGGAAGAAATGGGCAATGGCATACTGTAAGTGGTCTTGGTCTGCAGGAGTAAAAACCACACAAATAAGTGAAAGTTTTAATGCTACCTTAAAAGACTATTTGAATGTGGACCATGATGTGGTTCAGTTTTTCATGCATTTTGAAAGGGTACTTAATGATAAGCGATATAAGGAGTTGGAAGCAGAGTACGCTTTGTGTCAAAAGTTACCTAAGGTGACAATACTTGTTTCAATGGTGGTTAAGGCAGGAAATATTTATACCAATATTTGAGGATTTCCAAGCTCAATATATCAAATCACTTGAATTAGACATGATATCTTGTGACGAAGATGGTGATGATTTGGTATATACAGTTGTCTTACATGGCAACTCAAAAGGGCGACGTGTTAGAAAACAGAAAGATGGTGATGTCTTTTGTAGTTGTAGGTTATTTGAGATGAAAGGTTTCTTGTGCAGCCATGCACTGAAAATTCTTACTAATTACATGAATGTCAAAGAATTCCTAACCAGTATATCTTTAAAAGGTGGACAAGAAAAGCAAGATCTGAAAGTGTGAAAGATATGCACGGACGCGACATCCAGACAAATGTGAAACTACAACAAACATATCGATATAGGTCTTTATGTTCCATGTTTACCAAGATATCATCTCGAGCTACTGAGAGCGAAGAAACATATAAGATTTTTGTTAGTCATTTGAATCAACTAAGCAAAACCATTGAAGACATGTTAAGTTCAAAAATGGACGGTCAAGTACATGATAAGGATGGCCAAGGGTCACCTTCCACCATAGTGACAGATGGTGCTAATGAGGCATGTTTCTTGGATAGTGCAAAAGTTATCCAAGCAAAGGGATTAAAGAAGAAGGAAGCCTCCCGAGGAAGAAAAAGAATAAAAAGTTGTTTGGAGAAAAACATAGCTAAGAATAAAAAATCATCTAGTTCTCGTTCATCACAGGTATTTTCTTCTTTTACATTCAAAGTTCAATTCCAATAAATAATTTTTTTATTAATTTAGTTTTTAATTTGTATATTATGAACATGGGCATCTCCAAATGCAACACTTAAGAGATAATAACATATGTCATCCAGCTACACATCTTGAAAGTATCATTTATTTAATTTTTGTTTTCATATCATGTTTCTAGTTTAAAATGTTATTGTAATACTGCACAAGCACAAGATCACGGGGCACCTAATACAATATCATGGATGCCTTACCGAGAACCCCAACATAGTTTCCAACCATTACTTAACCCTGCAAGTTTCCCTTTACAATTTCAAGACTTGCAAGTTTCAAATGACATTGTGCGGAGTCAGGTATATTAAGATTTATAATATCCTTTTTATAAGTCATGGTAAGTTTTTTATTTATTATAATCAATTTTCATAACTACTTTATACAGGCTATGAACTTGATGATCGATAAGCCACATACAGCTTCAAATGTTGATCAAACTGGAGATGGCATCTGTAATCATGGGTATGTTATGCTCTCAGTAATACATTTATTATGAAATTTATTTGTATAATACTAACTGGTTTTTTCTTTGTTTTTTTATACATGTCAATATATCAGTAGGAATGCTTGCCAAAGATACACAACTGTTCTTTCTTTTATTATTGATGTGTAATTTATGTTTGTCATTTATTTGATGGGAAGATTATAAACCTTTTGTCTTTTTAATGGAGATTATAAATACTTCTTCGATTCTATTTCCTACATCTTTTCTTTTCTCTTTAGCACTCTAGTTAGCTAGATGATGGCATGATGGTTTATGCAAGGAGAGAAAAAAAGGAGAAAATGACAACAAGAGATAAATAAATAATAAAAAAAACAGAACATAAAGTGAATAAGAAGGAGGAAAAAAAAAAAAAAGAAGAACAGAACGTGAATAAGGAGAAGAGAAAAAAAAAAGCTGGAGGATAGAACGAAGCAAGAAGGAGAAAAAAAAAAAGAAAAAAAGAGGATTTAAAGGGGTTTTTATTCTTTTTTAATTAGGAGTAAATTGAGTTTTTGTTTTAAAATGATGTGTCAACTTTTAAATCCTTTAGATTAAATTTTAATAATGTGGCATATGAAGAACAAAAGTATAGCAGATCATAGCAGAGAAAATCAGAACAAAGAATCCGGATCCGGTTAATATGGTTGTTAATAAAAATGAATTATCCGAGAATCAAGGCCCCTCCATGATTAGTAATAATATTATTCTTAAGTAACTATGGAGATGAGACGTTGGTGAGCTGTTAGGCACTTGAAAAGCTCCAATAAAAAATGAAAATTAGGTCAGCTATTGAAAGATTTTTTTGATAATCATAACCCAATTATAGTCCGGACGGCTTTTCAGTCCAAAAATGGGCTGAGGCTAATCAGCAACAAATAAAAATTTATTGTATACGAAGTAACTTCACCAAAGCAATTTAATTTTGGTATTTAAGTTTTTAATTTGTTTAGTATTTTAATATGGTCTGCAATGTAATATGTTGGGCCTCTCTTTGTCTAATTGTTGGTCTTTGAGGCTTGATTTGGCCCATATGCTGTCTTCTTCTTGTTAACGCTGAGTTTCCCTATACCAAACGAATGCCAAATGAAATAAAAACTGAGACCAACCTTTAGGAGACTTGAAAATCGTGGAGAATTTTTAGAGGAAAATTGTCTAGTAAAAAGTTGATACTAAAGATTTATATTACTTATTTTATACTAAAGTTGAGAGTAAAACACCCTCCTTTGAAGGATCCAGTCTGCCCCCCCTCCCCCCCACCCCAACTCCAACGCCTTGAAGGATTGTGGTGGTCCCCTTTCTTAGTTTATAATATGGAACGAACAAGTGCAATGCTAAATTGCCACAATCTCATGCAAATTAGTGAAACCAAAAAAGGTATTGTGTTGCGTTTATCCAACTGCAAGTAGTCACACATAGTAATAATCTTGGAAGTCCAAGTATCGTATCCTCAAGGAGCAGGTAGACAAATCTCTGCACACAAAGAAATAATTAAACGTACCAAAATAAAAGTGACAAGCAAAATGAACAAGTAATTTGATTTGATTGTTGTAGAGATTGAGTTTAAAAATGAAATATCAATAATGGTGTGTTTGGATGAAGTAATTCTAATTTCCATGGAAATTGTAAATGACGGAATTTCCAATTACATCATTTAAAAATTCCGTCAATTGCAAATTTCAGCGTTTGGATGTCATATATGCGGAATTTAAGAAATGACAGAAATTACAATTTCACCTGTTTGGATAGTCATCACATAATTAGAATTTACGTAAGAACTTTTTTTTTTATATATATACAACAATCTTGTATATAAAATCTAATAGGAATAATTAGCATGGTTCAACACATTATAATTATATATATAATTAGAAAGACTTGAGATGTACGAAAATGTCTAACAGCACATACCTCAATTGTTACTAATGTAAAGAATCGCAACTGTAGCTTGTCTAATTTAAAAAAGCATAAATCACGTAATTAAAAAAAATGAAGCTAATCATCCCAACCAATGTTTCAACAAAATAGCAAAAATTAAAAATGTCAACTGAATATAAAATGTGTCTACGCTTTTGGTGAAATAAACATCAACACCATTCCCTTCTTTCTCTCAGTTGGAATTGTCTTTAACATGAGAAACTGTTTCTCATTTTCTATAAACCAAGAGCATGCCTTCAGTTGTTCATTTGGACTAAGATCTGGAATTGCAATGACTTCATTATATACTTCTGTTGGATCAAGCTTTTGTGTAGTAGAATTGATAAAGCGTTCCAAAGATGAAGCCATTTTAGCCACTGAATCAGCAAGAACATTAGTTGTACCTCTTTTTTTTGGTGGGGGAATATCAGAAGGTTTTTGATTTCTTCTCTTTGGACAACTAGAGCTGGGTAAAACATCATCAACCTGACAACTCTCAAAACCTTGAGTATCACTTTCCAAATCAACAATATTATTGGGATCACTCTCAGGAGTCATAACCTCAGCAGCTTCTGCACATGTTTCAGCACCCTCTCCCGTAGCTCTATCTTTGCCACATAAATCCACTATGTCATCCCAGTTTGCAATCACTTTAAATCGAAAAGTTCTAGCATCTTCATGAGACTATCAAGCAAAAAATCAAAGTTATCCATTTATTTACCGCAATTTTAGTCCTACAAAAAGATATAATTGCATTATAAATTACCTTCACATACTCATCCCAAACATTGTCTTCATCTACACTGATCATCTTCTTTGTTGCATCCCAATTGAATCCACTCTGACTTAATATATCACTGACTATACCATAAAACCTTTTCCAGGTTTTAACACGATTTCTTATGTTATCAGCACTTACTTCAATATCAAATTGTGCAGACAATATGGCAGCAGCGGTGTTATAAGCAACTGCTTTCCAACCACCATCTCCTTTGTGACCGATCTGACGTTCTTCTCTAAGTATATCCGCTAATGAACGCTCCATTTGTATATTCCATCGAAAATAGGCTTTGTCATCTCCTTCAGTGTCATTAATTTGCTTGTCTTTTCTTCTCCTCTGCTTTATTTTGTTTACTTTTTCTGCCATCTTATGTATTTAAAATGATTACAACAACAATATTAATAAATATGATCAATATATATTTGCATAAAAAAATGATTAACATATATAACAAAATAGACACATAAAGCTGAATAATAGGAAAAAAAACGATCAATAAAGAAGAGTACACATTTATTAAAACTGATAAGAAAAAACATGATTCAAATGTTTACAACTTCATACATAAATTTAACTTGAGACAGTTTCAACTCAATTAATATATAATGACTGAAAATCATGAATTAGTGGCGCCTCGTGCTTGATAATCAAGAAACATCTGCATTGCTAATGTGTCACGAAAAGTAGTCCATTGATCAGTGACTTGAACACTTGTAATCCTATTTGTGTTACCCTCTACTGTAGAATGATTTGATATCTCATGATCCACAGAAGCTAAAAACTCCATATCTTGATCTTGTAACACATGGTCATTCTGTTGCTCGATTCGAATGAAGTTATGCAACACAAAGCATGCATTTATAATCCTAGTTTGTGTTTTGATGTTGAAAAATGAAGGTGTACGTAGTATACTCCATCGCTTTTTCAACAACCCAAATGACCTTTCAATTACGTTCCTTGCAATTGAATGACGCAAGTTAAATAACTCTTTGTAATTTTCAGGACGATTGTTTCCAATCCATTCATTTAAGTGATATCTAGTTCCTCGATAAGGTGCTAAAAAACCAGGTCCATTAGCATAGCCGGCATCCACAAGATAGTACTTATCTACAATATAAAAAGTTTAAAAGAAAAGTTAGTTATTTATACCTAAGTTTTTGATTATTTAACAACTAGTATAAAAAATTACCACTTGGAACTTGAAACGAATTATCCCTGGCCAAAGCATCTCTCAAAACACGAGAATCAGAAGCAGAACCCTCCCATCCAGATAGTACATAGATGAATTTTAGATCTGGATCACAAACTCCTAAAACATTGGTGGAAATATCGCCCTTTCTATTTCGATATCTTGGTCTATCCTCAGCAGACACTGTTACTGGAATGTGAGTTCCATCAAGTGCTCCAATACAATTCTAATGACATTGAAGAAGAAAAAACAAAAATAGTTTTAAGGTAAGTGGTAACATTATAACAAGAACATATTTTTCTAAAGTTATAAGATTACCTCAAACCACTTCCACTTGTCTCCTTCTGAACCACCAATATCACATGGCTGAAGTTTCAAATATTCTTGACTAATTCTCATCATTGCACGCAACACACTATTAAATTGCCGGCTAATTGTTTCCTTAGAACGATAATAATGTTTTGATCTCCTTCATTCAAGAGTTTGAAATCTCCTTCTTCTTCTTTTGGTCTGAAATTCATGTTGTATTCCAAAAACCCCAAAACAGGGAATAGAGAAATTAATAGGAAATTAGCTACTAATAGGAAATTAAAACTAAACAGCAGATGCAAATTCTTGAAAGCAGTTTGAAATCTCCTTCAAGTAAACAAAAATAATTACAGTTTGGAGAGAAAAACTGACTCCTTTTTTTCTTTTGGCAAAAGACTCATAAAGTAATTCATAAATGAATAAGAATAACTTCCTCGAACCAGAATTTTAAGGAATGCTACCTTCCAATAACAACTTATTGCACTCAGCTTAACATCATAACTGTTAGTCATGCATTTATGATCCCTTGTCAACAATCAGTGAAGAGCACAACCAATGAATTGGTCAACTATTATGCAAACCCAAAAGTTTGATTGAAAAAGGAGACAGGAAACTAAGCCTACAAAATTAGACTTAGAAGATTAACAAACACTACAAACGTGGTTTCCAGCTGAAGCATAAAAATGTTTTGATCTCTTTATGAGCCGCCTCCAGGAATACTTAAGGGCCAGCTGAGCCCTTAAAAAAATGTGTATATATACACACATATCCATCAATTCTGATGCAAAGAGCAAGTGATGTTCAACACCTCTATTGTGGAAGTGGTGATATGAAACTGAAACATTCTTCGTTTTGTTTTACTAAACTGCATGCTATTGAGCCATATTGAGAGCCTGAGCCTGAGTGCACAGGTCCTGACAATTAAAGAAGCAATCTTAGGCAACAGAAACCGAAAAGCCCTACATAGAAGTGTGCACTTGTGGAGAGTTTTTTCAATATTTTTAATAAGGAGTATATATCAATATTTCTAGAACGTGATAGAGACTGCTTTCCATTCCAACTAATCAACGATACGATCAATACAAACACAAATATGAATTCAAACAAGGGCAAGCACAAGGAGAAGAACAGAGAATTATTATCTTGTAAATAAAATTCAATTAACTGAAAAAGGAAAAATAGATAAAATATGCAAAACCCATGTCTTGTTTTCCAGAATGATCAAGAAACAGATTCAGTTCAAGGAAGAATCAGAGAAAAAGCAAAGAGTAATTCAAACTAAACAAATTTTGAATATGGACATCGATTCAGAGAAAAAGAGAAAGACAAGCCAGAAGAAAACACTTGAGAGAGAGAGAGAGAGAGGGCTTACCGTAAAGTTGGAGGCGCTTGAGGAAGAAAGGCGTTTGCAGTTAATAGAGAGAGAGATGACTTACAATATAGCAGACCAAAAAGAGGCCAACGATAAGGAATGGGTTATCGCGGGCTGAAAATTTTGGCGGGCAGAAAATTGTGGGATCGCGGGCAGAAGATGACAATTCCCTCTCTGTTGGGAATTACAGAGAGATTGAATCAGAAGAGAGTACAAGATCAAACAAAGACAGAGAGAAACGGAGGTTCGAAGAGAGAGAGAGAGAATAGCCAAGCCTAAGCGCGAGTATAGAGAGCGAGAGAAAGGAAGGAAGTGGGTATGCGGCAAAGCCCTTTTTGTGTTGTGCCGGGGTGCACGATGTACCCTGATGCGTAGTGCGAAGACGATGAAGACGAAGACGAAGACGCCACAGACCCATTCCTCGAAACGACGACGTTGAGGAGTTCCAGGGCCATGTCTTTTTTAGGTTTTAAAATATTTTCTTATCATGAATTTCCGAATTTACCCTCACGTTTGACAGAAAATTTAACAGACTTGACGGAATGACTACTGGTGCAACGAAACACAGAGTTAAGTGACCCTTGCAACTAATAATTGAATTGATGGACCAAAGTGTAACTACGGGTATAGTTGAGGGACCATTGCTGCGAATAACCCTTTATTTGAATATAGAGTTGTATCACTCATACGTACAAGAGTGGTTTCTTTTTTCTTTCTTTTGTTTGAGAAAATATGAAATTACATTCATAATTCAGCCAAAAAATTACCAATACAAACTAATCATAAAAGGGCAAATACAAACTAACCACAAAAGGCTATTTATAATATCGGAGTGATTTAACATCAAAATTAAAATAATTATAAACGTTGATGCATTTTTTAATATATTTAGACCTAGCAAACGAGTTGTTTTTGCAGGTTACGGGTCGTGTTTCTTAACGAGTTGACACGAACACGACCCGTTAAGTTAACGGGTCAGAAATACCATACCCAAACACGACCCTCACAAATTCGAGAATAACAGGACACGACCTGTTACGGCTAATGGGTTGTTTTTCACCCGTTTCACCCATTTAAAAAATAAACAATATTTTTTAACAGATTATTAAATGAAAAACACCTCAAATTAGAGAAATAATAAAAAATAGCTGAAATCCTTAAATAAGAGCCCATTTGGGAGTGCTTCTGGAACAGTTAAACGCACTTTCTGACAACCAAAAGTGCTTATGACAGCGTTTGGTAGGAAAGTTTAGAAGCACTTTCTGGAGAAATACCTGCCATGTGCTTCTTCAGGAAGCACTCCCAAGTGTTTTTCCAAGAAGCAGTTCGATTTCTTATGAAAATTTCAACGTCTTTATAATAAAAGCGTTTTTGGTAGAAGTGCTTATAAGTAGAAGTGCTTCCTAAAAAGCAGTCCCAAACAAACCCTAAGTCTTACACATTACACTTTGGCAAACAAAAAAACTCTTAGACAATGTGAGTTTCAAATTAATCTCAATTTAAACAAGTTTTAAATAAAATGTTAGTCTAGAGCCTCCTCCGTGAACATAATCTCAAAACTTCAATCCTCCAAGAACATAATCTCAAAATTGCAATTTTTACCAACTGTGCAATTTTCACCAACTGTGCAATTTTCAACAAAAGACCAAATGACTTGATATTTTCATACCTTTTGGTTGGAGAAGAGGAAAGGTCGTGGATTGTTTGGTTTGGATCTAGAGAGAAAGAGAGACCTTTTGTTTAGATCTCTTGAGAGAAAGATAGAGAGAGTCAGTGGCGGCGTGAAGGAGAAGGAATAACATAAGCTAGGTTATTTTAGAATGAAAAATTACAAAAATGCCCTTGCTCTTAACGGTTTAACGGGTGATTCTCGAATGATACTGACACGACCCGTTAGCTTAACAGGTGACTAATAGGTCCACCCGTTTTCAACCTAACCCATTAAGCTTGACCCAAATACTGTTATTTTCGTGCGAATTTGTGTCGTGTTAACGGGCCGTGTTCGATATTGCCCTGCTACTAGTGCTATTTTGAATATCAAGTCATAAAGACTTCTAATGCTTAAACGCTCGTTAATACAGTTGTTAATAAAAATGAATTATTCGAGAATCAAGGCCCCTCCATGATTACTAATAATATTATTATTCTCTAATTAACTATGAAGATAAGACGTTGGTGAGCTGTTAGGCTCCAATAAAAAATGAAAATTAGGTCAGCTATTGAAAGATATTTTTGATAATCATAACCCAATTATAGTCCGGATGGCTTTTGAGTTAGGAGAAAGGAAGCACCAAAAATGGGCTGAGGCTAATCAGCAACAAATAATAAAGCTTGGCTACTCAAGATTGAGGAGTTCCTCATAATTAATGTGGTTTTGGCACATATCAAATTATTTTTCTTTTTTATTTCTTTTTTGTCGAAGCTTTATAAATGTTATTGGAATTTTACAAATGTCAAAATCACATTGGTTGTAAGGAGAACCTCTCCTCAATTTAAAAAGTCAAGCCATGCTCATAATTTATTGTATACAGAGTAACTTCACCAAAGCAATTTAATTTGGGTATTTAAGTTTTTAATTTGTTTAGCATTTTAATATGGTCTTTAATGTAACGTGTTGGGCCTCTCTTATGTCTTTGTCTAATTGTTGGGCTTTGAGGCTTAATTTGGCCCATATGTAGTCTTCTTCTCTTTTTTATCAAATGATTAATAAAGAGTGGTGATTTTCCCACTCCAATTTTATCCACTTACACTCCATTTTATAACTAAAAAAGGAGTGTAAGTGGATAAAATTGGAGTGGGGGTAAATCAGAGGAAAATTAATGAAATCACTGCATTTGCTCAGTTTGAAGAGGCAACGTAAAGTGCATAAGATTGGCGTGCAATTAGCATGTCTAACTTCCTACCGATCCTTGATTTTGTGTGATGCTAACTAATTAAGGTGTTGTAACAACTTGTTGGTCCCTCTTTCCTTCCTCTTCCGAGTCGATTTTTTTCAGGAATGGAGTGGGAAAGAGGAAGAGGCTGGGTCAACACCAATGCCCCGATTGGATCTCTGGCTCGTTAGAGTACTCGTTCAATTTCGGATGAAAAATGGCAAACTTCAAATGTACCACAATAGTCCAACACACTGTCGAGAAAAATGGCAATTTCCTTTTATTCACACAGATAAATTCATGATAAAACTGCAAATAAGCAATTAAAGTAAAGAACATGTATTTCTTATCCTAAATGGAGTAGTGACTGGTGTCATCTCTGCAGCCAAGTGATGTACATGTACAGTATAGCCATTTATTCTATATATCATTGTAACCATTCTAGTCACAAAGCATACATGCCTCCAGCCCAAGTTCATGGTGTACCTTCGCTGCTGTAAATGATTAGAGGCGCTGGTATATGTTGAACAGTAAGTAATATCATGATTAATATTTCCTCCAGATTTCATAAACATAAAGTCCCATTTTCTTTCTTTGTCAAAGACAAAGTTATGAATTCATTTTAATTTATGACCCTGAGCCACTCAAAAAGTCAAGACTAGCTTTGGCCTTTGGATGATCATGATGTGCCAGTGACAGAGCCAATATAAGGTCCGCAAATTTTTGTTAACATTGTGTAAATGAGCTTCAGTCAGGCAACATCCATCGTAGAATTTTCACTTCAGTCCATATCGTTGAAAGGAAACCCCCCTATAATTATGTTGTGTCCCCCTAAAAACAATAACCAC